TTGTCTTTGCTCACACAGTCACAGAACCACAGAAAGGATGCAGTTGGAATGGAGCTCTGAAGGTCATTTGGTCCAATCCCCTGACTCAGGCAGGGCTAACAGTCTGCCTGGGACTATGTCCAGTCAGCTTTTGAATATCTCTAAGGATGGAGGCTCCACAACCTTCCTGGTCAGCCTGTGCCACTGCTCACAGTGAAAAAAATGTTTTCTGATGTTTAGACAGAACTTGCCCTGTGTCAGTTTGTGTCCATTGCCTCTTGACCTGTGGCTGGGCACCACTGAGATCAGTCTGACTCCATCTTCTTTGCACTCTCCCCTCAGGTATTTATATATACTGATAAAATCTTTCTGAGCTTTTTCTTCTCTACCCTGAACAGTCCCAGCTCTTTTGGCCTTTCCTCCTATGAGAGGTGCTCTAGTCCCTTAATCATCTTAATGCCTCAAATACCTAGACGATACCAGTGTTGAAATGGTATGCTTTTCAGATTTTAGGTTTTGAAGTGTCTCAGGGGCTTGCAGGACACCCAATTCTATATAGCGACTCTCTTATGGAATAAGAGACCCCCCAGAGACCTGGGCAAACAGTCACATGGGGCCTGTGAATGTGCAGTTCAACCTTGTGCTTATGGGTCAGGGGAAACACGACATCAGAGGTTTCTGAGGAGCTGCTGTGCTGACAGAAGATTCTTTTTTTCCTCAACTTTTATTAAATATTCCTGGTAATAGCACTGTCTCCTAGCCTCAGCTAAGCTGTATCTCACTTCTTTCCTGGCCCATTCAGTTACTGATAGTAACTCACCACTCACTCCTGTCTTGGCTTCTCACAATTGAGTGCTCTCACTCCTTCCTAACCAACCAGTTCTTTCAAATCTGTAGCTCTGCTTTCCTGGTCATTTTTGTTCAGACCACTTCTATTGTGCACAGAGAGACTTGATAAGACTAGCCTGATATACAGAACTTAAAAAGTAGCTGGTGATTGGCTAACACGTACATTAGGTAACTGAGATTAGAGACTGCCTAAGCAAAGTGTCAATGTATTTATTGTAACAGTGGCCAAAGAGCTGTCAATCACGTGGAAAAATGTTGGCCTCTCTTCCTCCTTTGGAACTATGGCTCAGTTTTGGAGAACAGTTGTCTTGCAGTTTCCCAAGTCTTTCTGTATAAGGTTTGTAACTTTTCTTGTCTGTACCTTTTCCTCTTGGATTCTTTGACTGCTAATTACTGTTATATCTAGAACTCCACTGCTGTCTATGTGTTCATCTTATGTTATGTTAGCTAACATCATTTTTTTGCACCTTACTGAAAATTCTCTCAGCTAAGGTCACACAGTTGAACTATACCAACTAGACCTTGAATCACAGAAAGCTGAAATACAGGGCTGAGGATTTTCACATAATTTTCTTCTCGTTGGTTGATTCTCTCACTCTTGCCCCCTCCTCCCTTCCAAATTTTCCTGTCAAAGTAGGTACTTCTGTTTTATTTTCTTATCACCTTCCCTTCATTAAATCTCTTCTCAGTTTCTCCAGAGTTAACTAGTTTTCAACAGAAGTTCTGAACTGAAGCCAATTCTGTGCCTAAGAATTTTTAAGTTCCCCAAAGGTCACCAAGTTGACTTAGTACTTATCCTTTTATCTTGCAAAATATATGAAGTTAACAGACCACATTTATCTTGGGCCACAAAACTATTTGCAAATCTGGCTTAAAGGGGTGAATTAAAGTTAACAGCTGCTTTTGTCTTTGCTTGAATGGCACAAGGCACTGCAAAAGTAGGAGTGAATCTGCTCTGTAAGTAAATGCTAATAAATTGCAGGTAGTAGAAAACTGCAGAATGCCATGTGCTGTTTTCTTTTTCTCCTTACAAATACTTCACATGTTCTTTATGTCTACAAAAATCATAGTACATACTACATAAATAGTCCATATTATAGCCTGTCTTCCTTCAGATTTGCATCTCAACATTTCTGTGGATTCTTGGAAGCTTAGCAGTAAGGGTGCTTTTACTGCCAGCCCCAGCTTGCCATCGGTGAGCGCTTTAACCTGGTTTCTTTCCGACTTCCTATTTATGGAAAAGTAGTTAGCAACTTTGAATATCTTCCTCTGTGTGAAAATTTTATTGAAGTTGGTCAGATAGTTGAAAAAAATTACCAGGTAAGAAGTCCTCTAACAGTATTAATGCTAATTTTATTTTCATGGGAAATGTCATCTCCCTGATGCTTTATTCAGTATTTGTTAAAATGGATCCTGCGAGTCCAAAGTGGACACCTCTACACTTGTATATCTCAATTGCAGAGAAAAATGTTCATCGTTTCATGATTTCTTGTCTTATTAAAACATTACATGTGTCAGCTTAATGATTTATGGGAATGTTTTTAAAGATCTGGTGGTTACAATGTTCTGATTTTAATACTACGGTGTACACATTCCAAATACATAGACCCCCTGTCATCTTAGATGGTGCTTTTCCAGCCTGAAAGATAACGTGTCAAATTTAAGAAATTAAAACCAAATAATTGTCAGGACAAACAAATGGTAGTTAAATACTGTGAAAACAAAATGGAGACAGTTTTTGTTATTCATTGATGTTGCTTGTTCTCAGAAATTTGGAAAGTTGTCTTCCTGTTTGAAGTCATAAGAGAAATCAAAGGGCAAGGATTTTCGTTTTATGATAGTGTGTATGCACTGTGTTTGTCACATCCTTATTAAGGCAGAATGAATTTCCAGAGTTAGTATCTTAAATTCCTGCTAAAACCTCACAAATTGCTATTATTTTATTAAAATTTGTAGTAGTCATCAAAAATAGATCTGAAGATATGTATGCATGTAAGCAGTATTTACTCTTTCCTTTTACTCCACCCTTCTTGTCCCCCAAAGATTACTGGGCTTAAGTTGGTGCTTTGAAACTCCTAGTCCTGAAAACAGTACTCATCTGGAGAGGTGTTTCTGTTCCATTGCAGATGGGGAAATAACCTTTAAAAAAGGCCATTTTGTTTAATATTTAATTTTTATTTACTGTAGTTTTACTTGCTGTGATGTGTGATGGTGCATTATCTCATCAACTACTAGAGAAATGTTCTAATTTGCTGTCCTGAGCACAAGAAAGGGCTGTTTTGTACTTCCATTGTTTTGTAATGGAGCAGGTGCTAGAACCAGTTCTCAAGCTAGTGTGATTTTTATGTATATATGGAGTTTGCTAAACGTGTAGTTTAAGATAATAATTTGCACAAAAACTTCATCAAATCCAGGAGAAAACCAGAGAGCACTGTTGAAGTTGGGTGTTCCTGAAAAACTGCTGAGTTCCAGTGTGTTGGAAGCAGGCAGTGTTCTCAGAATCATGCCACTGCTATCTCAGGTGCTGGTGTGGGGACTCTGCAGTAATTGGTAGCTTTATTTCTGTGGCCTTTGCTCAATGTTTTTCTTAATCGTGGTTTCTAGTAAGAGCAGTAAAACTTGTTTTTCCCTTGAATCTTGAGAAATGAAGTCACAATATAAAACCAGTCTGAGAAACTCTGGTGTGCTTGAATAGTTCTCGTTCAGTTCGATTGAGGGAGCATATAAAAGTTTGTATCTATGTGATTACAGAAAATCCCTTCTGTTTGCATGTATTTCCATCAATATGCGTTAATTACTGATTGTATGTGTTTTGTACAAACCTTGTTGCCTAGTTTTTGATTTGAAGACTCTGAAGCTTATAAAAACATGTGCTTGGTTGAGGTAGCAAAATTCTTTGTGTGACTTGGGCTTTGACTTTACTGCAGATACTCAGAACTAGACATACCAGTGAGGCCTGATCAGACTTCTTGTCCTTGAGTGAAGCTATACAGTGCTGAGGGTACTGTGTGTTTTATTTCAACAAGCAATATTATCTCCTTACTTTTGGTCAGAAATGGTAGAATAAAAGGAAGCAAACATGACATATTCCTGCACTTGCTATGTAGAAAACCTCTGTGATACAAATGTCTGCTTGGAGAAGTGTACCCCATTCTTACACCAAGACTTGGATAGTTTAGATACAGGTAGAAAGAATATTGCATAATAAACAAAAGATTTAACTCTGGAGCAAGATAAAATTTTTTTAGTGCAGTTGTCAGTAAAGGGCTGGCTTTGTGAATATATAGTCTTTCAGTAGCTACATTTACTGATGATGTTTCCTAATTTTAGCACAGCTGAAACTACTAATTCTTGAGAGTTTTGATCAATCTTTAGTTTCCAAGCAGATGTAGAGAGTTTCATGGGTCAGGGTCAGATGTTTATTTTAGTGGTTTGGGCTTGCATAATAAGAATTTTCCAGTGCTGTTCTGTGTAGAGTGGGTTCGGTCAAGGTTGTGTCATCATTAGCAGAGATCCTCAGGTAATAATAGACTTTGAAATGCTTTCACAAATGAATGTAGTGGTGTTTCTTTTCTCAGAATAAGTCTAGGTGACAGACTGCTGGAAGTAGACTTGGGTGTTTGTCATTATGGTTTTCACTGTTAAATTTCATGTGCAAAGCTTCATGTTGGAGAGCAGTATGTTGTCTGCTGGCACAGTTACTAGATTAATTGCATAGATTTCACGTATTTTATGTCAGAGCCAGATCTTTGATTGTAGGAGGTTTTCATTGCATTATCTTAAATTTATAATGAGAAGAACAATATTTGATTCAGTTCTGTGACTAGGATTTATTTAATGACAAGGACAGCAAAGTACATAGTAATAGAAAAAACAGTGACTAGAAAAGTTTAACATAGTGCCCCTGGCCTTGTTGTGTACAGTTAAGAGTAATGATGTGATTGCCAAGGGAATTACTTCAGAATTAAATGATTCAGGAGAGCAGAAAGGGAACATCATTCAGCATGTGGCACATTCTCCATGATCTGTAGTAATTGACCTTCGTTTCAAGGCATTAGGGCAACAAAGAGATGCCAAATTTATTACTAATACTTGTGACTGATCGAGTTTAACAATTTTTTTTCCCCCGAATGTTGCAATCTAGCCTAAGGGAATTTGTCTTCATTTTGCAGGTCAAGCCTTAAAGGTATCAGCAGAGGCATTTACCAGTGATCCCTGCTTTCTGCCTAAGAGGCAGGCTGTTGTCCAAGCAGCACGATCTCTGCTTACAGCTGTCACAAGGCTTCTCATTCTGGCAGACATGGTTGATGTGGCATACTTGCTGGAACATCTGACTGTGGTGAGTAGAATTTGACTTAACTCAGAATCCCTTCAGTTGGAGAAGTGTCTGCTGATGGTTCTTGCGGCATTGAAAATTCTTTTTGTACTTGGGAATTGCAGATAGCATGCACATAACACCTTGGCAATTGGTAAAAGTGTAGATTCTAGATGAGATTTGTAGAATGTACCAAAAAAAGTCAAACTCAACATACTTGATCTATGGAAGCAGATTTATTGATACAATTATATTGTAACTTCCTTTTATTTATTGTTTCTTAATTTCATACTTGAATCGTTGCACTTGTGTAGCTTTTGATGCATGAAACCTACTTGGTGTTTGTGGAAGTAGTGGGGGATAATTTATTTCTAGAGAATCTTAAAGGTGGAATTTTATGTGGAGAAAAAAGAACTGAACAGGGTAAAGGTCTGTCTTTGTATTCGAGTCACTTTGTGAGAGACATCAGCTAAAAGGGGAGGGAGAAGGTGTGTGAGGGAGGCCTCTGGCAGGTCTCCAGCTATATTTCATACACTGCAAACAGAGGACTGGAAAGTCCTATGCTGGCAAAGCTTTAAAGATTGTGCAGTAGAAAATAGCCTGTAAAAGCCACTTAATTTTTTCATTCAGGGAATAATGTGTTTTGGAAGTGCTATGTTTTTGGGTCATCTTTTTTTCCACCTGTCTCTCTTTATACAGAAGGGATAGCTACGTTCTTCTGTTCCTGTGCAAAACTAACCAGGGGTTGTGTCACTATTGTTGAATTAGGCAAAACGCCCGTGCTTCTGTTGTTCAACATCAAAATACTTTTCTGTCTACACAGACTCCAGTTCCTTTAACTTCAGCCATAGTGTCCCATGTGAGCAGGCCTCCTTCCTTTTGTGAACAGTGTGATTTTTAATCTTGTCAGCATCATGTGTCTGACTGCAAATACTGTTGTATTTTTGTTTCCTTTTTTCCCCTAATATCTTCAGTAATGTGTGACAAACATAAGAAGTCGGTAGAACTTTGAATGTTTAATGTTTTGGGGCAGAGGTGAATAATCAGTGCCACCTCCAATAATGCCTCATGCCACAAGAGGGCTCACTGACTTAAAGGGGACCATTTTGAAGCAAATTCGGTTTGGTGAAGACAGGGGAATGAAAATTTAGCTCCCAATGAGAGTAGGAACAATATTTCATAATAAAACAAATGTTATATGGGTTTCAATCTTGTGTTTGAAACATCCAACATTGGCAGTTCTCGGAGATGTGGTACAGGCCAAATGAACATTGACTTGTAGAACCTTCTGTGTTGTTATGTACGTATAAAATTTGTCAGCTTTCAGAGGAGTGGCCTATGTCTTTTGTACTGTTTGTAAAAGATCTTGTTTAATTATGATATTTTTTTTATTGGTAACCTATTACAATTTTATACACATTTTCATAATCCTAGACGAGGCCTTCTAAAATGTTTTCAGCAAGTTTTACATGAGAGAACTAAAATTGGGTAGTTTTCTTTCCTAGAGTTTCAGTATTTCTAAACAACCATATAATTCACTTTGTGATTTCCATTAGAAAATGAAAAACAATCACTGAAAATCATAAAAGAATGCAAAGAATCATTCAAGAAAAATTCCGGCACCACAGAGTGCAATTAAGTTGTCTTCTTCTTCCATAGTTTGAGTTCTCTTAACAGGAGTGAAAACTGAATTCTTCACTTAACTCTTAGAATAAATTAGTGTGGCATAATACTTTCCAGAATGTTTATATAAAAAGCCTCACCCTAGTCCTTAGAGGAAGGTGGTAGATTTTCTATATTTAGTCTCTGCCCTGGCTGTTTGTTTTGCCAATGACCCAATGACTAGGCCTAGCAGCAATGACACAGCCAGCAGGAAGCTAAACCAGTAAGTGGACCGTATTGAGTATAGAAAGGACATTCCATGGACAGTTGCTGGGGGTACAAACAAGTCAACCAGAAAGCTCTGTGAAGTGCGTCCACTTCACTGGCAGACACTCCTGACTCCCTGCAAGTGGTCCCAGCTTTTATCCCCAAGTGGGACCCCTGGGGCTCATTTCCCTTCTGGCTCTCGCTGCAGGGCCGGCCGCGCCCTGGGGGGAAGCTATAAGGCAAACTCACCACCTCTTTAGGAAGGGCTGTGGGAATCACCCATATGTCAGCCTTAATTCGGGGCTTGGGGTTCAGACCCCAGCATTTCACTGTTGAACTTGTCAGCAGAGGTATTAGCTGTAGTGGTGTCCTTTTCTGTTGACACCTAATTAGGAAATAAATTTGATCGAGTAGTTTCAACACATGCTACTGAACAACCTTCAAATTATAACAATTTTTGGTTACGACTAACTGAGCCACATTTAAATGCAATTAAAAGATTTAATGAATCTCAACTTTGCTCTCTTCACAGTCCTTAACTTTAATTATTATACTTTAAAACTCTATTAGGATTTCAGTTTTTCTTGAGTGGGGACTTGTTCCAACAAAAAGCTTTATTCACACAGTGGCTGCAGTGAAGGAAGTAGACATTGTCTTTGCAGTATCAGCTTTAATATTGTCCATGTTTGCAAATTCATATGACTTGATAATCAAATCTCTTTAAAAGTCATTAGCAGTCTTCCTTTGAACTCATTCTAAAATTTTTAATACATCTACCATTTTATCCTCTTCACAAAGACATGGATGTTACAGGTGTTATTAATCATTTAGGAGATGAGAAATTGTACCGTCCTTTATTTCTGTAACTCAGAGTTCCAGAATTATGGTAGAATAAAACGAAGAAACTCAAGGACTGAGCCAAAATGGTTGTTGTTTTTTTTTTAAGTAATAGTGGTATAAATGAAATGAAAATTCTAATGAAGCTTTTTGTTTGCATGTACAGAATGAAACTGATAGAGCATCATCAAAGAACTCTATAGAGTACTCATCAAATCTTATTCAATACAAATGCATTTAATGAGAATTGTCTATTTATGTATCTAGTACTTTTCAAAACCATTTATCCAAGAGTGCCAAAATTTTTTTAGTCTTGCTCACTCCATAAAGCTGGTGAATTCCAACACTGGCATTCAAAACGTTTGAAACTATACTTGCTTGTACTGACAGAATGCAGTCTGGATCATTAAACTTTCTTTTCCTCTGTAATCTGTGAATAAAAATAGAAAGGAAGCAATGACAATGTGACTAGCTGCCATATGAAGCCTTGTCTAGTGTTACCTGTCACATCTGCCATGCTAAGAATATCGAGGAAAAAAGGGTGAATCTCGGGCACTTCCCTCCAGTTTGTGTAGTTGATGAGAATATTGTTTTCTGTACATTTCATTTAGACTTTGGACTGGCTTTGACTTCTATGTAATAAATTCTTTATAAAAAACAGTGCAATGCTGAAAATCATGGCTAATTTTATCACAAAAATGCAACTTTTAAACTGCGTATCACAGGGCAGTCTATTTGGAACTTCATTCCTTCCTTTGGAGGAATTTCACTCCAAACGTCCAAAAGAATGCTTGTGTGGACATGAGATTAGCTATTTTGAAATTTTGATAATAAAGTGGAGAGAATATTGGTTGTTTTGGGGATTCTGTAGACTCTTCACTCAGCAAAGTGTATATCAGATAATGCATACTAGAAGCCAGTACAAATTCTCAGTGACTGGTTGTATTCTGGCACAGTACAATTCTAGTCATTTGTGGAATTTGCAGCCTTAGAAGAGTAGAATGGTGTGGTGCAAACAGCAAGCTAATTTTAGAGCCGAGTGAGAAAATAAAGTACATGACACTTATAAGGAAGGTTTTGCTTCTTTAAATAGGGTCAAATTTTTTAAAGAGGGAAGAGTTTAAATAAATATTTGCATGTAAGATTTCATACCTATTTCAGTGTGAAGTCTCTAATCTCAAAATTGGGTTTTGAAAAATGTAGTCAGACAAAGGGCTAGCTCATGTATTGCACTCTTTGATTCAGAGCTGTACTACCAGCCTCATTCATTATGGTTAGTAATGCTTGATATTATTTAAGTGAATTAATAGACTAATGGAATTGCCTGAATTTATTGATTGGAGGAGAACAGCAAGAAGGTAACAAGTTCTGAGAATTTAATTCAAAGCACATTGGCAGTCTGTCTTTCTCCAATCTATTACAGATCATGCTGAGCCAACATGTTTTATTTGCCTTTTTTCCCTTCTTGCCGTACTTGTAGATTTACTGTTTAAGTCTCCATATTTTTCATGAACGCCTCAGACAGTGTGATCTTTATAAAATGGTTGCTTAGAGTTATTTAAAACTCTTGCCAAGTTAAAGAAAAAAAACAGCACCACAAGAGAATGGCTAGAGGTAAGAAGCAACTTGTGAACTTGGGCCCTGTGGGCATAGCACTGTCTGTTCCTCTCTTCCCTGCAGAGTATTCATCAGCATTAAAAATGTGTTGAACAGGAGAAAAACAGTGTGGTTACATAAAAGAAGAAAGGCAAGTCATCTCAGGCTTACCTGTGCTGTTGATTGGATACTAGGAAGAATTTCTTCACTGAGAGTGGTCAGGCACTGGAGCGGGCTGCCCAGGGAGGTGGTGGAGTCATCATACCTGGAGGGGTTCAAAAAACAAATAGATGTAGCAGTTGAGGCTCTGATCTAGTGGTTAGGGAGATGTTGGGAGGAAGGTTGGACTTGATGATCCTGGAGGTTCTTTGCAGCCATAGTGATTCCATGATTCAGATTTGAGGATTTAATTTGACTTGCATAACTCTGTATAAATTAGAATTTTACTTGCTCCTTGTATTACCTTCTGTTTTGGTGTTGTGTTATCATGCAGTAAAGCATTAAAAAACACAAAAAGGGTAAAAAAAGGAATGCAGTCTACAGGGCCAGGTTGTGAAAGTGAGAATTATCAGAATCTGCCCACCTTCCCTCTGGAGGGCATGTGTTACTCCTGTCTCAAGAGAAATCTCTGAAAATATGGGGTGTTAAGATGATGACAAGAGTCTTTGAGGGAGAGTATTTGGCTTCTTCTTTGGTTCATACTTGTATGTATTTTCTCACCA